ACTTGCCCTATTATTATCCAGGTAATCCGATCTTAGTTCGATGTCGAACAAGATGGAAAATTTGTCAATTCTACGATGTTTTCCCGCTGGGGCTTTCGTAGCTGCCTGCATTCTGCGGTAACAAGTACACACCCGTGTGTACGTCTAACCAACGAGTCAAACGGAAATTGGTCAACGCTGGACGCAATCAAAAAAATAAATTAATACTGTTGCTGGTTAAAATAAAAAACCGTTGCAATCCGCACACAGCTGGTTAGCAATATAAAATATGCCGCTGCAACTAGTATAGCAATTGAATCACTACGTGGTGTAACGGGCATCGGTTCGACACGAGCGGCGCGACCGTTTGGAGCAGAACTTGGCGCCTTGTATCTCGATTTCGCGTCGCCGTTTGGCAAATACGTTCTTTCGATCCCGTCTTAAAGCTGCCGTTTGAACTGCCACTGCAGCCTTGACAGCACCCTGCTCACACGAGCCTCGGATTTTTATATACTCGCAAGACGCTGCTTTCGCGCTTTAGACAAGTATGATTTCACTTTGAAGCGGACTTGATATAGCTTCTTCCGGTGACGCATCCTCCATACGCTCTTGTCGTCTGAAACAATGCTTCAGCTCTTATGTGACAAGTGTGTTTTATTCCCGCGGATCACGGACTCACTTATTGTCCTTTATTAATTGTACCGCGAATGTCTGATCCTTTGTTTCTTGTATTACGTGCGACCAAATGAGACGTAAATCCCATCTTCAACATGGCCGGTGTTCTCACAACAAATGTTTATGGTAAAAATATTCTTACCACTAGCCATACCTTGCTGCTCTCCACACTCGAATAGTATCATCTTCAAATAACCCACTAGTTTCCGGATATCCCCTCACGCCATTCCATTTTTCGCGAGGTGGATGTCCCCGAAGCGCTCAGCAAGTCGAATCATCTCTTGTGTACATATCCCATTATCCCCATCAATCATTCAATTATCTGTAGCACAACGAATACACGTTTTTGTGTTGTTGGCACCAGCACGCACCAGCGCCCATAGGAACAACATAAGCATCATGGACAGCAGCAGTCGTAGCTGACATTGTTAAGCACAAAGTTAATAGGCCGTCAGTTTCAAAGTGTGAGGGACACAGCGGGCACACGCCACGCGTCCTTCTTGCCATTAACATTCCTCGGCAAGTGTTGTCACTTCTTAAGTATCCTTAAGAAATAAGATGTCTGAAGCTTTTCTATTGGCTACATATTTGACCCATTATAGTGCATTCTAACAGACATCGTAGTGATAGTAGTAGTCGT